GTGCGGCCCCACTCTGGCCCTTTCCCCAGCATGCCCCCATCTGCCCCCTTGTACACTCACAGTATTGTTGGTTTCTGTCTGAAGCCCCTTTCCTGGCTGTCATCCCTTTGCTCACTGTGGCCTCATAGCTGGTGATTCCTTGCATTAGGTCCGGGAATTCTGTTGTAAGGTGCCATGAGCTCAGACTTTGCCCTGGTGTTTTTGGTCTTGCAGCAGCCTCTGGTCTCTGAGCTCTTCTGAGACGGGGAGACTAAGAACAGGTTGCCATGCTGGTTGCTCTTTTCCCACTGCTTTCCCCATGTCCCATCTCTGATGATTCCACCTGTAGAGGTGGGCAAGCGCAGTGGGAGATCTTAGGACCGCAGCAGAAGCTATGTGGTCAGCAGGCAGTGCAGTTGGCCCCACTGCAGGGAGAAATAAGGCTTGCCGTTTGCCTTATTCAGAAGCGAACAGCCAGCCTTGTTGTACCTGCTTCTTGGGTGTCAAACTTCTGACAATTGGGAATGACAGATATTTAATTTTACTTACATTGGGCAGCAAAAAGGCCCCAATCCTTTGATAAATCATAGGTCTGTGAAAGCAGATAACCCCAGGCCCTGAGGGACCCACCCCCTTCTCCTTTCCTCCCCTCTTCTCCCTCTTCTCTCCTACCCTTTCCCATCTTTTCCCCTTCTCTCTTCTTCATCTTTATTTTTCATCATCTTTCCCTTCCTTCCTTTCCTCTTTTTCTCTGTCAAACTCTCTCAACTCCCACCAGATATTCATTGTTACTTAGCAGAAATCACATATCTTGCTCAAAGGAAGAAAAACAAAAACAGCTTTCTTGGTACTTATAGATCAGGGACTTAGGTAAGGGATGTAGTTGGGTGGGATAGGATTCAATATTAATCTCTTTATTAGGGACAATTGTATACTCTCTACCACTGCCTGCCACTGATCCCTCTGCCCTCCTCAGTCCCCATTGCCTGCTCCAGTGGTCTAAAGCTGTGATGGTTTTTCTCTCATGCCTGCTATGAGCTGAAGATTGGTGGAGAGCTGTCACTACTTTGAGTGCCAGCAGCGCCTGCAACATGGGAAATATGTAGGATGTGTTTTCTCTTATAACCACTGTGTGGCTGCTGGTGAGATCGTGCCCACCATCCTAAAACCGAGCATATGTTTTATTGTGTTGTTATTTAAGTAAATGTTGCTCATGTTTTTATTAGAACAGTGTAATATAATGGAATGTGATCTATACTGTGCTCCACAGTGTCTTAGTTTAAACAGATATGTTCCCCGCTCTGTCCGCCCTACACCACACACCTGCAAGTAAGTTTCTTTTGAATATCAACACCAGCAAAATCAGGGAACCCTTAGTAAAGGTGCTTAGGTGCTATTTGATATTTAAGGCAGTAAGCTCAGTTGGCCTTTAAATTCATTGATGAGAGCAAATTACTGTTTTTTAAATAATTTTAATTTTTAAACATGTTTCATGTTCTAGGCAATATTTATTTGTTTAAATTATGTTTTTGTGCTAGGTTCTATAACAACTATGTCCCAATGTGAGGAATAAGAGCTTACCTACTGAATGCTTCTTTTTTGAGACCGAGTCTCACTCTGTCACCTAGGCTGGAGTGCAGTGGCACGATCTCAGCTCACTGCAAGCTCCGCCTCCCAGGTTCACACCATTCTCCTGCCTCAGCCTCCCGAGTAGCTGAGACTACAGGCGCCCACCACCACACCCGGCTAATTTTTTTGTATTTTTAGTAGAGATGGGTTTTCACCGTGTTACCCAGGATGGTCTCGATCTCCTGACCTCGTGTTCCGCCTGCCTCGGCCTTCCAAAGTGCTGGGATTACAGGTGTGAGCCACCGCACCCAGCCCCTACTGAATGCTTTTAAGTGACTTTTCTTGGTTTAATTTATCACCTTTCATAGAGAAGAAAGCACTGGCTCATATAAGTTATTTGGGGAAAAGTGAATATTTATAGTGTTTACAATGTCCAGATTCCTGCATCTTACCTTTGTATATAGCTGGGAACTTCAAAATAAAAAACTGCAACTTAACCAAGCACAAAATTCTATGTGTTTTGGGCAATTTCTGTTCAGAAGCTTATTATCCAGCTACTTCAGATAACTTTAACCACTTGAAACATAGTCATACGCCACAAAGTCAGTGGTCAAAGTTTCAGATTTGCTAAAACAGTTTCCATCAATTAAGGAAACTACAAATCTATTTACTTTGCTACTATGGCAAAAGGCCTTGGACCTTTACTCAAAATTTATTTACTTAATTTTACATATGATTGTAAACTGTAATTATCTGATTTCTCAAATTAAAAGCTGTTAAGAAGCTGCCATTTAGGAAATTGAGAGCAACAAAAGACAGCGACACTGACTCAAAACGAGCTCTACCCAAACAGAAGGACAGGAAAGAGAAAAATGACTGTTCTGTGTAGTACAGTGCATCATGTTGTAGTCTTTATGAAGAAAAATTTAGAATTTGGTCTATATATTCTGCCTCAAAAGGCACATAAGTATGTAATATATTTTAAGAGGATCTTTTAAAATCCAATATAGTTCAGTTAAAATCAGTTTTATAACTTACAGCACTCAACTCCATAGATTATCATCTGCAGAACATTGCACTTCAGTTATTCCATATGAATGTTAGTGCATTTACATGATGTTCCAGAAAGCTGAGAGATAACATATCTTAACTCACCGGTTCTCAAATTCCTCTAGCCCAGATCCCTTCTTCAAAAGATACTTTGACTCAGAATCTTGATTTGTAAAACAAAGACAGGAGGAGGCATTCCATTTCATTGACTGCATGAGGCTTCCTGAGTTTTCTCCGTGCCCTCCTCCCATCCTCAGTGACTTTCATAGGAGCCTAAGAAATCCCTGGAACTCCATAGGACTTAATGCAGAGCATAGTGTCGAGCATGAAGCTAGACTAGGACAGGAGTTATTGCCAAGGAGGGAGGCTTTTCAGGCATCCTTAAATCACAGCCCGTAAGTGGTTGCCTACCTGTGGTAATATTGCTTTGCTTATCCACAAAGTAATTTGCTAAGAGTTTCATGGGAAATGAATAGACTGAAATCAACTCCAGTTTCCTTAGTGTCACGGTAACTCTGATTAGCAATGTGACTCAAATGCCCCATGCATTTTCTGCAGGTGGTGCCAAAGCAGTGATTGGCACCAGGATATCCATAGGAAACAGAAGGGAAACCATGATTTGCTTATGGGTGCTCTACCCTGTAGAGCAAAATAGAATTTTCTGATTGTTCTTTTGATTGCTACTGCTGTGCTACTACAATTACTGCTTCATGTTTTCTTGTTGTTCCTCCCCCTCCTTTTTCTCTTCTTCTTTTCTTTTTTAGTAGTAGAACAAGACACTGTTCAGTAGTGTAGCTAGATGCTTTGGTTTCTTTTATCATTGTTATGTGCAAAAGCAATTGTCAAACTTATTTCATGTGCTACACCATGTTCTTCCCTCAGGAAGAGGAAATCCAAGAGTGATAAAAGCATCTGCAAGCAGTGTAAAGGCATCTCAGTCAGTGGATTTCTTCTACAAGTTTCATGGCAGCGGTACTGCAGTGTTTTAGCTTCTTTGTAGGTGGCTGATAATGTGTATACCCCATGTTGAATGAATTCAGCTGTCCAAGACCTATGAGGCTGCAGTTTCTTTCCTGATCCTACCCCTCCAAGGTGGTGGTTTGCAGTTCCTCCAGGAGACTGGAGTCTCCTCTGGCCGCAGCAGTACTTTATTTCTTCTCACCTACCTGACACAATTGGCTCAAAAATTATACCTCAGCAGGGAAACTACTCCTCGGAAGGGGCAGGTTGCCAGCAATCTCTAAGAGTATCTTCCTTAAGGACAGGAACTCAAGGCCTTTCACACTTGGATGCTTTGATAGACCATTTGATAGATAGGCTTAGTTATAGTACGTTACTTTCAGGCTCAAACACAGAAATTCTTCATGCAAATCCTCCTTCCAGTCTGTCCTTTGTAGAGAGGGCTGAACTTTCCTATCTTAGATCGTGCACGACACTGGCAGTCATGAAATGTAGATTCCGCTCATTCATCTCTCTCCCTGCAGTCCATTTTTTATCATTAGAGAAAAAGATAAACTTTAAAAAGTTTTATTGTATTATAATTTTAAACTAGTATTGACTGTCAAAGAGGCCAACTTGTGTAATGCTTATAAGCATGAGCTCTGAAGCCAGACCACCTGGCCCTGCTGTGCCTTAATTCGCTGACCTTGGGCAGTTTTCTCATCAGTAAAATGGAATTAAGAATAGAACCTGTTTTATAGGGTTGTGAGGGTTAGGTGAACTACCATTCGTGAAGTGCTTATAAGAGCACGTAGCAGATACTATATTCCTTTGTAGCAGCTTTTCCTGCTTTTGTTGCTATTCTTATTATTGTTTCCTGGGTGTAAAAGCTGAACTTGCCTTCTTTTCCTTCTGGAAGATTTGGGCAGAAACACAAGTAACTTAGTCTAGACTCATGCCTGGGGTAGAAGCCTAAAATGACTGGCCCCTGGAAATCTAGACACTTTTGCAATAGGGAAAGAATGCCTGTTTTCAACTTAGATCTAAGTTTGGATGTTGGTCTTGCCCCTTAGCTACTTGAGTGATAATGTAGAAAATATTTTAAAATGGAAGAGAATAATGCCTACATTGTAAGGTGCTGAAACTTAGAAATGACAGAATAAAGAGCTAGTTCTTATTATATGCTCAAAATATTGGAGCTATTATTATTATTTGAAGAGATAATCTAGCCCACCCTAAGTCATGCAGATGTGGAGCTACTTGGTGAGTGGAGAGACTGTTGATAAAGTTTATTTAATATTTAAGATGAAGTTTTAAATTTGCTTTGTAATAGAAATAATTACAATATTTGGTGTATTTATGTATATATTATATATGCCCACTTTAATACTAGGGAACTCTTCGGAACGCTTCAGAACAGACTGTTAACGTTTCTTTCTTGTCTTTTGAATTGAATGTTATAGAAATCAGCTCTCAGGAGGAAGTGTGCAGTCTGTAAAATCGTCGTCCACACCGCCTGCATTGAGCAGCTAGAAAAGGTAAGAGCGCGCCCCCTGCTGCAGTTTTGTTACATTGCAAGTATTTGGTCTTCAGAGGCCCAGTGTAATTTTCTAGTTCCAACTTTTTGAAAACAGTGCCCTTAAAAAAAAGCTGGAGGCCGGGCGCGGTGGCTCAAGCCTGTAATCCCAGCACTTTGGGAGGCCGAGACGAGCGGATCACAAGGTCAGGAGATCGAGACCAGCCTGACTAACACGGTGAAACCCCGTCTCTACTAAAAAAATACAAAAAACTAGCCGGGCGAGGTGGTGGGCGCCTGTAGTCCCAGCTACTCGGGAGGCTGAGGCAGGAGAATGGCGTAGACCCGGGAAGCGGAGCTTGCAGTGAGCTGAGATCCGGCCACTGCACTCCAGCCTGGGTGACAGAGCAAGACTCTGTCTAAAAAAAAAAAAAAAAAAAAAGCTGGAAGTCCAACATTATTACCAGATTAATAATGGAAAGACAATGTTTTAGGGTCATTCACTCTCTTGTTTGCTGAAGTGTAATTTGATATCATTTTACGTTGACTCTTGGGAAATGGAATAACAGTTAGATGGAAAAGCCTGGAATTCTCTTATTATATCATCTCAGTTCAAGCATTACTATTCACCCATAGGCTCTTCCACAAGTTGTTTAAGAAGGAGGAAGTTCTATAAGGTTTTTATAATTGTTGTTCACATATATCTGACTTGTGTGGTTTACTTTTTCTCAAAGTGCCTGCAAGGGAGTGAGCCAAACTGGAAGCCGGCTCTCAGTCTGCTGGGCAGTGCTCCTCCTGTTGCTGCTCAAATGTGTGGGTGGGACTGGAAGTGACATCCTAGTGGTGTCGTACCTCCAGAATAAGTGGATTCGGCAAATCCATTTATTTGTTATTTAGGGGATGGGAAAGGCACCAGTAGTGAGTTACCTGCCATCCTTTTCCCTTTCACACTTCCTACTCCATTTTTATGTGTGTTTCTCTGTGTATTATCTATGTTCTTGAGCTGTCATAGGTAAAAGCATTGAAATATTTTAGTCCCCCATGACATTCATTTAGTTTCACTGACATGACCAGTTGATCCTAGCTGATGTCTTATGGCAATGACTACCAACATGCTATCTTAATATTTTCTTTTCTGCCCCAACTTCACTTACTGATCTCTGCCTTCATTCTTTTGCTCCCTTCACTTTACTGAGTAGCTAACCAAGATGTCAATGTGCCTACTAGGAGACCTCCACATCTAAAAGAAAAGCAATGCTGAATCCTTTTATAAAGAATAACTCTGGGCTGGGCACAGTGGCTCATGCCTGTAATCCCAGCACTTTGGGAGGCCGAGGCGAGCAGATCACGAGGTCAGGAGATGGAGACCATCCTGGCTAACATGGTGAAACCCTGTCTCTACTAAAAATACAAAAAATTAGCCAGATGTGGTGGCACGCACCTGTAGTCCCAGCTACTCAGGAGGCTGAGGCAGGAGAATTGCGAGAATCGCTTGAATTCAGGAGGCGGAGGTTGCAGTGAGCTGAGATCGTACCACTGCACTCCAGCCTGGGTGACAGAAAGAGAATCCATCTCAAAAAAAAAAAAAAAAAAAAAGACTATTCAAAAAAAAAAAAAGAGTAACTCTCTTGTCTTTGAATAGTCATCATAATACTAAAAAAAATCTCAAGTTTGTATTTTCTATTTTTACAATCAGAAACCCAGCTGGGTAGTTTCAGCTGCCGATATCTTTCCTCTGGCTCTTTCTTATCTCAGTTTCTCAAATTTGTGGTGTAAGAGCATTATTGTTTAAAGATACTTAGATTTCATTCTTGAGAATGAAGGAAAGGGGTTGGAGATATAGAATCACCTGGGATCTCAGTTGATTATCTAATGCGATGATTTCAAAAGACTAAGAAGAGTATTGTTCCTTGTTCTTTGAAGGTTTTGCTTTTCAGTCTCGATATCTATCACTGTTTTTTTTTCCAGGTAATTCAGTCTAGTCTGATGCTTATCTCTAATATAATATACTTTTCTTTTTGAATGACAGATTAATTTCAGATGTAAACCAACATTTCGAGAAGGAGGCTCAAGGTCACCAAGAGAAGTAAGTATTTCAGAGCTTGATTTCAAGTATCACCTTCGATTTCTCATTGATTCAGTGGCTTCATAGATATTCACCAGGGAATAAAAAATAAATTCTATCTCTCTCCATTGCATGCCAATGTTTTGTTAACACATCCATAAATACAACCAATAAAATCTCCAAGTCTTTTCAACATGTGCACACTGCACTTTATTCTCATAAAATGTACTGGGGAGTTAAGGTCTTACCAAATGAACCAGAGACTAGAGGAAGGCGGTAGTGATAGAATTGAAGGGGTAAGAAAGAAATAGACTATTTATTTATGTATTTTGAGACAGAGTCTCGCTCTGTCACCATGTCTTCTGGTTGATTTTATGTGCATTTTCCAATTTTGAGTGGGTATAAGCTACTCATGGGGCAGCACAGTAACTGGTTATTCCTATAAACCCTGGAGTCAGGTGGTCCGCTTTTAAAACCAGCCTTGATGCTGTGTGATCTTGGGCATCTCACCTAAGCTCTCTAAATCTTGGTGTTTTCATTTGTTAAGTAAATGAATAAATACATCATAAGCTAGAACTATATTCATTTCTTGGTCTCTGACCCTCCAGTCTGTCGTGAAGATAAACAGGTAAAGAGGAAATTTGAATGAAGAGTTGTTACTGATGTGTTAGTGGGAAGCAGAGGTATAACAAGAGGAGACAGCACGTATTTGTTCACATTTTATTTAGAGGAGACAGTGAGCACAGTTCAGGCAAAGATGGAGAAGGCAGGGAGGGTTCTCAGCCTTCCTGTGTTATTCTGGACAGTTTAGCTCCAGGCCCAAAATTGCACTCCCCAATCAGCGAAACAAAAGCCCGCAATGAACAGAACCTGTCCTCCTAGAATGTAGTTTTGCCTGCCCAGCAGTCACTCACTGCTTCCTAAACATTACCATCTTATACGATATCCTCCTGAGCACAAAGTCCAGTAAAGATGATTTCTGATCAACGTATTTTCTCAGGGAGATGAGGTTCAGTTCCACTTACAGATTTACTCCTTGGAAACCTTCCCGGATGGTCTACTCCTCCAATCAGCTCTGTGTAGTAACAAATAGGAAAGAGAGGAAAGGGGTCAGTGAAGGGGCTTCTCCTGAGGAGCTAAGTTAGTTGAGAGGAGGGTGGTTAGGAGGTGAGTGGTGAGAGCCTTCTGGATAAAAGGAAGAGCATGCAAATCCAAATGAGAGACTGTACTGAGTAATGAGACATGAGATCTGAGATAGCAAGGGCTGGATCGTGAAGGTTCCTGTAAGCCATGCTGCAAGTTGAGTGTTTTATCATCAGGATAGTTGGGGGGTGAGCATTAAACTACTTTAAGCCAAATATTGTTCAGGCTGCAGTGTGGAGAAAATAACATGCAGTTCAAGAGTTGGAGGCATACAGGCAACTTTCAGAAGCCATGCTAGTAGTCTAGGCAAGAAATCATGGTGACATGAACTAAGAATAATGTTGGTAGATATGAGTTTGAAGGAAACAAAATTGACAGGATATAGTAACTGATTGAATTTTGGACACAAGAGGAGCCCAGACTAAACCACGCTACTGCTACACACAGACACACACACACACACACACAACAAAACAAAACAAAACAAAACAAAACAACTGAAAAACTGATTAGATGTATGAAAATGAGTTGATGTGAGGATGGGGTGGGGAGGTAATGACTTTACTCTTGTAGAACTATGAAGTATGAGGTGTCCCTGTTGTCCTCAACTGGAGATGCCCAATAGAAGGTTGAGTAGGTATATGAGTTTGGAGCTTATGAGGAAGACTGGACTGGAGGTCGGGCATTGTGAGTCATGAGCATATTTGCACAGTAATAAAAGCTGTGGGAATAGATGAACGTGGAGAGTGGGAATAGGAGATATCTGAGAATTACAAATGTTTAAAGACAGTTGATGAAAAAAGACAACATGAATATGAATGCTCTAATTGTTAGTGACAAAGCAAAAGGATGGGAAAAAATGTGGAAAGAGAGTAGGTTGGGATGGAGGTTGTAGAAAGAGTAAAACATAGTTGTCTTCATCGATTGTCTTCTCCCACTGTGTTTGTGTAGCATAGCAGCAATAGGAAGGTTCTGGGCCATGTGCAGGATGAGGTGGGCAGGAGAAGAATGATAGGGCTGTGGTGTCTTAGTGCCACCCAGAGTGCGGACAGCGTGGGCCAGAAGATAATTCAGTGATAACTCAAATGAAAGAGGTGCTTTATTTAGGAAACTGGAAGAGAGAGTTTCATGTTAAGATGGAGTTTATGACTTTCCAGCCTGGGGATTCATATACCTACCTTTAGCTTTCTGCCCTCCAGTATGTATCTCTCTCTATTGATAGGTCAGTGTGGAGGCAGGGGAAGAGAGAGAGACAATTTTAATTGTGCAGTTTTTCTAATACAGCATGTTTTTGGTTTTTATTAGCCTGTACCACTTCTCTGAAGCTAGACTTTCCATAAGGGTTTTGGATATTCTCCCTTGTCTTCTTATCAAGGACTTGAAATTCCTTCCTTTAATATGTTTTCATCACCCCCGTCTATTTCTAGATAATTTCTACCAGCATAAACACACTCTAATAATTTCTATCTTTAAAAAAAAACCCAAAAAGACTCCTTAGCCACCAACTGTGTCTTACCTACTGCTCTAGTTCTCAGTTTTGTAGTCACTGCCAAGCTTCCAGAAAGTGTTAGCTATATAAATTATTTTCAGTATGTCACTTTCTAGTCATTGTAACCTGTTCTAATCTGATGTCTGCTCTATCCATTTACTGAAATCGCTGCTGCTTTCAGTTTGCCTATGATCTCCTATATGCTAAATGTATTAGGTGTTATTTATTTTTCTGTTCTTTCTTCTCGAAAATATTCAAGATACTACATATTCCATCCTTCTTGGAATGCTCTCCTCTCTTGGCTTCCCATATCACCCTTTCCTAATTTTCTTCTTGCTTCATTGGATAGCCCTTTCTATTCTTTTTCATTGCTTACTCCCCCAACCTCTGCAAATCCCTCTGAGCTTAGTTCTTGTCTATGTTCTCTTCTCTCTGCCCACTCCTGTTAGAGGAGCTCATCCGGTCTCATGGCTTCAAATACCATGTGGGCTGACAACTCCTAACTTTACATTTCCAGTCTGCCTTTCTTGGAGTTCTACTTGGCATGTCTTTTGAATGTATCACAGTCATCTAAAATATAATACATCAAACACTAGACTATTCCCATTACCATAAAAATGATTTAAGAAAATCCTATGCACCTCAGGAAATGAGATGGCTGTTGATCTGGCTTCTCAGTTGAGAAAACTGGGGGGTCATGTTTATTCCTTCTCTCATAGACTGCCCACATCTAATTCATTTGCCCGTCCTTTCAATTTTATTTATAAAATATATTTCAAATCCACCCAATTATCTCCAATTCTGTTATCAGCACCTTAAACTAAGGTACTGTGACCTCTCCCCTTTGGCCAATGCAATAGCTTCTTCATGACGCTTCAGTTTTCACTTTCAGTCCCCCCATGATTTAAAGAAGTAATCTTTCAAAGTGAAAATTAGATTATGAGGTTGGTGCAAAAGTAATTGAAAGTAATGACAAAAACCGCAATTACTTTTGAACCAACCTAATATAATTTTCCCTGGCTTAAAACTCTCCAGTGGTTTCCATAACTCTTAGAGCGAAAGCAAACCCTCTGTCTCGGCATGAAAAGGCCCATGTTGTCTGGCCCCTGCCTGCCTTCCCAGCCTCCTCCAGCTCCCATATAGACTTTCTTTCCATTTGTGTGGCACACACAAAGATACTCCCCACCTTTGGATATTTGTGTATTTCATTGCTGTACTGAAAATCTCTTTGCGTGACTGTGTCTTACAGTTAGGTCTCAGTTCAAATATCATCCCCCTTAGACACTGTCTTAGTCTGTTCAGGCTGTTGCAATGAAATACCATAGGCTGGGTGGTTTATAAGCAACAAAAATTATTTCTCACAGTTCTGCAGGCTGGAAGTCCAAGATCAATGTACCAGCATGGTCCCATTCTAGTGAGGGCCCTCTTTGGGGTTGCAGACTGCCACCTTCTCATTGTGTTCTCATGTGGAGGAAAGAGGGTGAGAGAGTTTTCTGTTGTCTCTTTTATAAGGACCCTGATTGCATCCATGAAGAGTCTATCCTCATTACTTGATCACCTCTCAAACACCTCACCTCCTATTACCATTGCATTGGGGTTTAGGATTTCAACATACAAATTTGGAGGGGACACAAACCCCAGTCTTTTGCAGAGGTCTTCCTTAACAACCACCTTTAAATACATAGTATATTGTTCTTTATCAAAGTATCTTGTTCTTTCTTTTCAGGGCACTTTGTATACCGTAATAATTTATGCATATTACTGTTTGCTTGTCTAAAGAATGTCTCCCTTCTTTAGTGTAAATTTTGGGAGGTCACTCATAGATTTTGTCCTAAATTAATTGCATCAAAACACAGAGTATGTGATTGATGGATATTCGCTGACCGAATGCATTTACAAAGGTATTCATTTCTCTCAAAATGTTTAGGAACTCTTAGTCTAAAAGGACATTTTGAAGATGAAATTCATGACTCACTGACTATGACTCATTTGATATTCTTAATTAAAAATTAAGAATTCTTACTACTACTAATTTAGATGTTTACCTAGTAAATGAAAAAACATTTGCTTTGGAATTAGTTTGACCCTAGTTCGAATTATACCTCTGCTTCTTTTCCACTAAGTGGTAAGAGTCTCTGGAGCACAGATTGTTGGTCACTATGCCCTGGCATTTGCATAGTGCCTGACGTGTGACAAGTTTTAAATAAATATTTGTTGGAGCCATCTAAGTTGAATCTTTCTGGATCTCCTTTTTCTTCGTCATAAGCCATGATGGATTGGGTTATGATTTCTAAGATCCTTTCAAACTCTATAAAATATATATATATATACACACACACACACACATATATACACACACATATAATTTTTTATTTCCATAGGTTTTTGAGGAACAGGTGGTATTTGGTTATGTGAGTAAGTTCTTTAGTGGTGATTTGTGAGATTTTGGTGCACCCATCACCTGAGCAGTATTTACCGAACCCAATTTGTAGTCTTTTATCCCAGTTCAACTGGCTGTTTGAAAATAGCCAAGCAATTGTATTATGTATTTTTGCTAACAATACTGAATATAAGCCCTGAAATAATGCATTACCAATACTTTAACACCCATAAGTAATAGCCCTTTCCTTGCCCAGTGCTTGAAGTTGTATATGAATAATTCAGAAGTTATTGATGAACAATACAAAGGTTTTATGATGTTAGAAGCCTTGCTTTGCTATCTTAACAACGTGTCAACACTCACATTTGCAGTGTTAAGGATCCTGAGTCCAATGTCAGTTCAACAGCTTAGGAGCTCTTAATAATGGTCAAAAGAAAAGAGGGTGAGAAATTAAAGCACTTGGGATATAAGGATTAGAAAATGTAAATGATTCTATAGTAATGTTATTTTCCTTATTGATGAAGGCAATTGATGATCCTTCCCTTCTTCATGGTAACTATGTGATATAATCATCAAAGAAATTAGGTGGATAATTCCATTCAGTTCAACACACATGTATTGGATGTTTGCTTTGTTCAAACTATTATTAAGCAGCAGTAGAATAAATTTCTGTTGGGCCTAAAAAGAACTCTGGACAGAAGGGTGCTGGACATCTCAAATCACAGAGCTATATTTTGGAGACAATTACTCATTTTCTTCTATGATAGTGATTTTGTATAAGTTAATCAATCCATGCCTTAGTTTTTGACTTATTTTCTAGGAAGGATGATATTAAAAATATTTAACAAATGGTAGAGCCATAGAGAGTAATATTTAAATAATTTTTAAATGTTCTTTTCTTATTCCCCAACTAAACTATATGATATTGTACATCTGCTTACCAAATTATATACAGTAGTCCCCTCTTATCCATGATTTTGTTTTCCAAGGTTTCAATTACCCAAGGTCAACCACAGTCCAAAAATATTAAATGGAGAATCTCAGAAATAAACAATTCATGTTTTAAATTGCATGCTGTTCTGAGTAGTGTGATGAAATCTCATGCCATCCTACTCTGTCCTGGGATATGAAACACCCCTCTGTCCAGCGTATCCACTACCTGCCCATTCATCACTTAGTAGTTTTCTCAGTTATTAGATTGAAGAATCATTGTCTATGTAAGGTTTGGTACTATCCATAGTTTCGGTCATCCACTGGGAGTCTTAGAACATATCTCCTGGGAAGAAGGAACAACTGCGTGTTGCAGTACAAATGAGGAAGTCAGTCTTAAGATTCCTAAATAATTGTTGATATATGGAAAGTGTTGGCTGACTGTTTTGAGTAGAGCTGTCACTTGCTAAGTGATCCCATGAGTCAGCCATGATTTCACACAGGTAATTGCATCAAATGTTTCCAACATGTTCCTTCTTAAATTGATAGTCATTAGCTGATTTATAATCTCAATAACTACAAATTTTTTTTTCTGAACATCAATGATATTGTTCATTTTCCCTCAGCTTCTGCTACACTAACAGCAATTATATTACATTTTTCTATTCTGTATGATACTGTCTGACATTTTTATATATTCAATATTTCTACTACTGACTGTCATTGAAATCATTCATTGGCATGTCATGTTGAAGTAGCGTGAGCCCTGTCTTGCGAAACAGAGGAAAGGCACAGTGACACAATGGTAAGAGCACAGATTCTGGTGCCAGCCTGTCTGGGTTTGGACCCTCACTTTGACCTTTACATTTTAAGTAATGACTTCTATGCATTAGTTTCCTTTTCTGTAAAATGAGAATGATATTGACCATTGAAGTCAAACCCTCTGATAATGTGTGAATTGGGATATGCTGCAGTTGGCAGCTGGCTCCGGTTCTCCCTAACGTTTATTCCTAAGCAGGCAGTGGACTAAGGTTCTCATCTTATCCTTTGAGTAGGCAGATGTTAAAGGTGTCAGCAGTAGCCTCAACTGCAAAGTAAAGAGGTGGAGGGTCTAGTACCTTCATCCTCAGTAGAATGTTTGCACTAAACTGATGGGATAGATACTGATAACTGGGCAGGTTATTCTGGAATTGCCGTCATTTTCTTGAAAGCCACAGCCAGCCACAGGATCCAGAATTGTCCATCCATGTGGATATTTAAGGTTGTACAGACAACCACCACCAGCTGGGCCCAGCCCCCAGCATTCTGCGATTCTTTGGGGGAACCAGTAACATTGCTCAGACAACATGATTTGTTTTCAGAAGAGAGATATCATTGGAATAGGATCCAGGAGACCTATTATGTCAGAAATTAACATTGTAATTGCTTAATATCGAGGAGGTAGAAGTGGTCTCTAATGTTGAGGGGATGCAAGGGAGGAGTCAGAGAGATGCTAGGGGCACTAAACTGCAATTTCCCAATCAACATATATTTCAGTATTTCAACAACTCATAGGATTTTACTGATACGTTCCACATAAGTGGCATCTCTACTCATGAAAATTCTCATGAAGATTGAAAGAATTATTACTTATAAAATATTTCTTAAAGTGCATGGCTCATAGTACACAACAAGTGTTAGCTTTTATAGTTAGCTTCTTTCTTAGAACAGTCTAAGCTTGTGTCTTTGTTTTCTTAAACTGTGGTAGTAGGAAAAGTGAGACAAACATTAGACTAAATTGTGGAACCATTGTACTTCTTTATATCTGATTATAGTTAAAAGACCTTTATTCCTCCAGGGTCTTTGTTTAGTTTCAGTTTAAGTGGATTTGACATTATTAAGAGAAATAGAGGTGGCATTTCAGTATTGATAATGCTAATGCTTATTAGCGGTATTCTTGTCACTCTGAATTTCATGCCTTGATATATAACTTTTTTTCCCTCTACACTGATCTATTTTCTGTCCATCTGTACTTACAGAACAGTGCCTGGCATGTAGGAAAAATTTGAATAGTTGAATATATATTAAAGTGAATATATATTAGTATATTGAATATATTAAATTGAATATATATTAATATATTAAATATATTTTAAAGGGAAAATAAGGACTATGGCTAGACCCTACAATAGACATGTTAGTATTAGATTAAGTGTGTTTTCCCAGAAAAGGGCAAAAGAAAATAATGAGCACTTTAGGGGTATTGGTGTCAGAGGGATTAATTGTCTGTAAGTTATGAGGGCTTGCCTGCATTCTTAGTCCTGAGGATGACTTTCTTGTAATGTATCCTGAGAACCAGTGGTGAATGGTGCTACTTGACTCTGCCCCAGGAGTGCTTGACTACTTGGGAGGAAAAGGACTTTCTGTGTTTCCTACAGTCTGAGACAAAGATAGACCTTGAAAGCTAGTCTGTAATAGTTCATGGTACCAAGGATGGTTTAAACACAATACCATTGCAGAAACATCATCAATATGCTTATATCTCTTGTCCTTGACATCTCTTGCCTTCAGCTTTTCTCTTTCTTCACTCTGTCTAGTGAGTAATTCTCACATCTATGTCTTGTATTAGGAGATCTACTTCTCAGAGTTTGATCTACATTATCTCTAGCTGGAATGTTTGGTGTGGTGCCTGCGTGCCACAGATAAAGCGCTACATACCTATTTGTTAAATTGAGTTGGATATTGTTGTTTCAGCTTCTCCCCTTCACCTTTCCACTTTTCTTTGGCCATTTCTTTTACCTGCCTCAGTTACCTCCCAGCTCAAGGTCCTCTACTGTGTTCACAAATCTGCAGAGTGTTTGACTAGTAAGACAGTAGAGTAACAGAAATCTGGTGTGGCCAGTTGCCACTAGGAAGACGTGGAGGGAAGGCATGAGAAGTGGAATCTACAGATATGAAAGATCTTTGGGGATGGAGAATTAACTTCATTTATCCAAGTAGATTCATGTTTATTGTTAAACAAGTCATACTCATAAATATTTGTTTCTGGGCTCATCTGGGCTTAGATCGTGGTTTATATAAATCAATAGTATTGCCACATTAAAAATGAATATTGAGGTTTGTAAATTAAAACATATTCAGTCAAGTGCAGTAGCTCATGCCTATAGTCCTAGCTATTCAGGAGGCTGAGATGGGAGGATGGCTTGAGCAGAGGAGTTCCAGGCTGCAGTGAACTATGATTATACCACTGCACTCCAGTGTGAGTGACAGAGCAAGGCCCTGTTTATAAAAATAAATTTTTAAAAATATTCATTTAATTTTGTTTTCCCACAGAATTTTGTACGTCATCACTGGGTGCACAGGCGTCGGCAGGAGGGGAAATGTAAGCAGTGTGGTAAGGTAAGAGCCCAGTCACCTCATGGCCTCGCAGGAGGCTCCCCAGGCCTCTGCAAGCACCTGAGGTGGATGAGTCCTGTCCCCGAATCCAGTGTTCACTACATGAGTTCCTTTTTGAAAGACCTTACTTGTCCAGGTCTCCTTAAGAGGCATTGTAGTTGTTCTAGAACTCACTGCATGAGGCAATGGTGTTAATAAAAAGAATTAGCACATTTTAAGATACATGGATGCATTCTTACAGTGAATTTCATTAATGATTTTTGAAAATATAACTATTTTGTGAAAATACCCTCATGAAGACAACCGACTCATCATACTTTGGTCAATAGTAGCAAATCAATGGGTTTGAGTAACACGATGTATGCTGATATAAAATTGTGTTTGGGCAGAACTGTTTAGGACAGCATGGTCAGCAGCTAGAAATGTGTTACTTCCTTGGGATGTTATCCAGTTCCTGGAAGAGATGCCCTTTTTATTTGTGGTTGTTTATATCTACCTCCTCTGTCATCATGACTGATTATAGGCCCCTCAGGATGCAGCGCCACTTGGAAAAGTGAGCTGGGGCAAGGGGTGGGGGTGTTATAACTATATACTATTAAATGCCGTAGATCCCATGTGTCATTGACCCCAACAGATTTGGGTTATAGCTTTTTCCAATGTACAAAGATCTACTTTAAGGATGACGGGGTCCTCTGGGAGGGTTAAACTGGTGGTAAATCACACTATAAATACATATAGTGATATTTCCCACCAGTTTTTTTAATGACATCAATAGTAAACTGATGGTCATCAGTAAAGGGAAGTTTGGATTTGGCAGAGGGCCAGATAATTTGGGGGGAATATATTCCTAAATAATTATTACTCTGTTTGTTTATTCATGTGACTCCTTTGGGTCAAGCATTGGTGTGAGCTGCCCAGGGCAGCATTTTTGAGAGTGGAGCAATGCAAGAAAATATTGGCTCCCTGAGGTAGGGTTGTGTAAGGTGAGGGAGGGAGACTTGGAAAAAATCGCATTGATTTTGCTGTTTTGCCCAATGCCTGGGAAGAAAATATGCTGTAACCATTGGTTATGAGGGTCTTCTCTGGAAGGCTACACACCTTAGCCTCCAGGGCATAGGCTCCCATTGTAACCAGTATTTTGTCCTGTAGTTCAACCAGGTGGCTCTCAGTTGGTTCTCTTTTAGCCAGTAAAGAGGATGAACAAAACAGGGTGAAAGCAGAGCGAGGTAAAACGAAGTAAACAAGGAGGAGGGGGGAGGTGGAAAGATTTGTACCGATTCTTTTGGCCATCTTACATGTCCTGGGGAAAAGGAGGTCACACCTCTACTCTCCCATGACCTTTCTCTCTTGGGTCCATCAACCTCTTCCAAGGTGTTGCCTTGGGGCTTATGGATTTTCTTTTACTTCAAGAATCATTGACTGTAACTTTCCCATAAATGTGCATGTGTGTGTGTGCATGCATGTGAGGGTAAGAGAGATGCTGCAGTCAGGCAGGCATAGCAATTTTTTTTGGTCAGAGATGTAAAGAGTAGTAAGAATCTGGATGAATAGGTCCTTCACTTTGAAAAAAATATCTTCACTGGAGCCCAGTAGCTGGCACCACCTCAATAATGTAAACCATAATGGAGTGGGAGGGATTTTATTAAAAGAAAATCAATAAACATTTTATACTTTGAGATAAGTGTTCCCTAGTGCCATATTGCACTCTCTTCTGGCCTCTTGTTGGCATGGTCAACTGAACAGAAAAAACTGGGCTTCCTCCACCCTCAGTTGCTGTGTCTCCTTTCCTGCCAGTGTTCTCAGCCAGCCATCATGCCGTGCGCACAGCTCGCTGCAGGTCTGTGGTCAGTGGGGAAGTCAGTGATCCAGCTTTCACGTCATGTTTCCAAAATATTGCACTATTATAGTTATCTCTTGTGTTTATAATCCAGCTTCTCCATGAATTCTTCAAGACTCAAACAATTATGGGATGGGTGGGATTGTCTCCTTGCCAAATAATAAATTACCCTTCCTTGGATTCCAACTTCCACCCTGGACAGGAAAACTATGGCTCTGTTTCCATTTACAGATTAAGTAATAAAAATTCACTCCAAACCTTGGTGCTATGCATAATTTTCATCAGTAGTGTTGTACATTCTTATTCATATTCATAGACTTTTAAACCTCACTCCATCCCCCATACACACACACACACACACACGCATGCACACACACATTATTCCGTAATTTACTTTCATTGGGATGGAGTGAAAAATAGTGCCTCCTTAGCAAAACTTTTTTTTTTCCAACTGATGGCTTGCAAAATTTACAAATTTTTTACAAAGTGTTTATGGTTAAGAGTGTTTGTGATTTCTCACTCCATCCCCATACACACACACACACACACACGCACGCACACACACATTATTCCGTAATTTACTCATTGGGATGGAGTGAAAAATAATTGCCTCACTTAGCAAAACTTAGCAAAACTTTTTTTTTTTTTTTTCCAACTGATGGCTTGCAAACTTTACAAATGTTTTAGAAAGGGTTTATGGTTAAAGAGTGTTTGTGATTTCCATTTCTACTTTTAAAATAAACAATAAAACGATGTTTGGACTGATTTTCTCTTGCCTTAATATGTGTTTGGCTGAGTGTGTGTGGCACTCAACAGAGATCAGATGAGATAACTCATGATTTGATTGCTCAGTTCCTTTAAGGTTAGCTCAATGCCTCAGCCTACTAGGTTTATAACCCTTCTGCAGTTTTTCATTGTCATTCATAGTCCTTGATTACATAAGAGTCAGGGTCAAGGCACAAAACAGACGAAATGCTCATGTTCAAATTATGTAATTTGATGAGAGTTTAATGAGGAGAATATTTAAAATATGTGAAAAACATCGGGGATGGGGGGTGGGGGAGGGCGGAACCACAAGAAAAAGTGGAGCACACTGTGACTAATATAGAGAGCTATGGTCAAGCAAAGCCTGAAGAGGTGAGGAGATGGAGAGAACCCCTTCCGAGGAGCTGCAACTTTTAGTCACAAGGCTCAGCCAGCCTGTGGTGACCTACAGACTGGGGAAATACATCCCTAGCTCCACCTACCTTCACTTTCTAGTAGCCAAACCCAACAGAAACCAGAGCACAAGGGATTCTTTGATGCAATCCATAAAAGCCAACTCTTTCCAATGAGTCATTGAGTAGAGAAGGATGGAGAGTAGAACTGAAGAGGCAGATGGAATGGATCTAGCATGTATTGTTTAATGCAAACCTGTAGTCAATCAATGGTTGGAGGCAGAATGCATACTTTTGCTACTTTTGCTTTTTTAAACATGTCTCTGATCTTCTAGATCTACCACATTGCATTTATTCGCATTTATTCAATCAAAATTTATGAAACACTAAGTTGTCTATAGTACTTCAAAAAAATCTATAATCAAAAAAGTATAGTAATGATTATGACTATTTTGACTCTTCATTTTTTGAGGGAAACACACATCCAAACCTAGCATTATGGTAATTGTGAAAATATGTTTGTAAATCACTACTTGAAAGCTTATCTTTTATTCATATGTAAAATTTATAAAAATAAGCTAACTTTTTGAAAATCAAAATTAAAAAATTTCAAACATCAATTCTTGAAACCAGTTTTAAATGCAGTATATACATTGAATATCCCTTATCTGAAATGCCTGGAACAAGAAGTTTTTTGGATTTAGATTTTTTTAGGATTTTGGAATATTTGCGTATACATAAGATGCCCTGGGGATGGGACCCAAGTCTAAGTATGAAATTCACTTATGTTTCATGCTACACCTTAAACACAAAGCCTGAAGGTAATTTTATACAATATTTTAAATAATCTTGTGCATGAAACAAAGTTTTTACTATGAGTTGTCACACGAGGTCAGGTGTGAAATTTTCCACTTGTGGCATCATGTTGGCACTCAAAAGGTTTTGGATTTTGAAGCATTTTGGATTTTTGATTTTCAGATTAGGGATGCTCAACCTGTAATACATAGTTAAACTTTGTCTACATTTTTTATGCAGTTCAGTTCCTGTATTAGGCTGTTTTCACGCTGCTGATAAACACATACCCAAGACTGGGCAATTTACAAAAGAAAGGTTTATTGGACTTACAGTTCCACGTGGCTGGGGAGGCTTCACAATCATGGTGGAAGGCGAGGAGGAGCAAGTCACATCTTATGTGGATGGCAGCAGGCAAAGAGAGAGCTTGTACAGAGAAATTCCCGTTTTTAAAACCATCATAGCTCACGAGACTCATTCTCTGTCACAAGAACAGTGCAGGAAAGACCCGCCCCCATAATTCAATCACCTCCCGTCGGGTTCCTCCCTTGCCATGTGGGAATTGTGGGAGTTACAATTCAAGATGAGGTTTGAGTGGGGACACCGACAAACCATATCAGTTCCCTAACCAAATATACTACATTAATATGAATTATTTGTCTATAAATAATATGTATTTTCATATGTAGTTTACATAGCATGCAGTGTTTTTTAAAATGGGAAAACATCAAAACTATATTTGTAGTAAATATTGTTAAAAAATAACTTGAGAATGAACTTAGGGTATAATATGTAAATTACACCAAAATGCCAAAGTGTTTAAAATTACTTCATGGGAGTGCAGTTGGGATATTACATGGGTAGGGAAAGGGATTACAGAGTATAAAAATAATGGAAAATACTGACTTGGGCCTTTCAGGAATGTCCCCTTATCAACTTAAAGCAACATACTCTACTAATCTGAAAATGTGTATCCTGGGAGTTAAGGTTAAGGACAGGGAAGGGAAGTTTAAGGGTGAGGATTCACGCACTGCTTGGGCAGGTTTGGTTATTTGCCTGTCTGTGTGTTTGTGCAGCTATAGCAGAGGAATCCTCTTCCGGTAGCCCCAGGAGGATTATGAGTAGGTAGAGAGGGGGCAGTACAAGGGCAAGGAATCTAGGATGCTCCCTGAAGCCCCTGCCCACATGACTGCTGGAAGCCTGGCCCTTCTCTCCTT